GTCCTGCCCCAGCCTCTACAAGCTTGTGCAGGCCTGTGCCAAGCTTGTTCAGACCCATGCTGGCCTCTGCGGGCTTGTACGGGCCTGTGCCAAGCTTGTTCGGGCCTGCGCCAGACTCTACAGCCTATAGTCTACAACTATACGAGCCTGTGCCGGCCTCTGCGGGCTCCTACGGGCCTGCGTGCAGCTCTCCGGGCTCGTATGGGCCCATACCAAGCTCTGTGGGCTGGAATTGACCTTTCCCAAGCTCCTATGGGCCCATGTCAGGCTCTACGGGCTCATGCTGGCCTCTATGGGCTTGCATGGGCCTGTGCTGGCATCTATGGGCTTGTTCAGGCCCATCTTGAGCTCTACGGGCTTGTATGGGTTTGTGCCAGCCTCTCCGAGCTTGTATGGGCCTATGCCAGCATCTATGGGCTCGTACGGGCCCAAATCGATCTCTGTGGGCTTATATGGGTCTGTGCCAAGCTCCTATGGGCCCGCAGTGGGTGCTATGGGCTCGTGCAGGCCCACCTTGAGCTCTATGGGCTCGTACGGGCCCACACAGGGTTCTATTCCAAGCTCTAGGGGCTTGTACAGGTTTGTGCCAGCCTGTATGAGTTTGTACAGGCCCGTTCTGGCCTTTGCGGACATGTTTGGGCCCGTGTCGGTCTCTACGGGCTTGCACAGGCCCATGGCAGCTGCTACAGGGTTATACGCATAAATGCCAGCCTCTATGGGCTCGTATGGGCCCCGTCACCTTCTATGGGCTCATACTGGCCCGTGCTGCTGGCCTCAACACACTCGTACAGGCTCGCTCTACAGGCTTGCCAGGCTCCAAGGGCTCGTACGCACCCATCCCTGCCTCTGCGCGCTCATACAGGCACGTGTCAGCCTCTATGGGCTTCTACATGCCTGTGCCAGGCTCCTCACGGCCATGTTTGGGCCTGGCCTGGCCTGGCCTCTAGGGGCTAGGCTCGTACAGGCTCATACAGGCCTCTACCATCCCATTCGCACCTGTGCTGTCCTCTACGGGCTTGTATGGCCCCATGCTGGCCTCTACAGGCTCATATGTACCCATGCCAACTTCTATAGGCTCATAGGGGTCCATAGCGGCCTCTATGAGCTTGTACTGGTCCGTGCTGGACTGTACAGGCTCACACGGTCATTTAACTGGCCTCTAGGGGCTTGTATGGGCCCATGTCAGGCTCTATGGCCCTCTAAGGGTTGGTGCCAGTCTCTACAAGCTCGTATGGGCCCGTGCTGGCCTCTACAGGCTCCTACAGGCTCCACGCACTCTACTGTCGCACCGTCACGCCG